GATATCAAATAGGACTTGTCTAATAAAAAAAAAGGGTAATCTCAAAAATTGGGGGGTCACTTGACCCTGCAGGACCCCCCCTGGGTCCACGGTGAGTGAGTGCAAGAGGTCGCCGAAAAGGTGATTTGTGAGGTCAATTTGATCTAATCTCAAGCACTTTATGTGGTAATAAGACTTATTATGCAAATAGTTGAAAATAATCATCAAAGGGAAGAAAGTTTGCAAATTCAGCAAAAAAACAACTTTTTGCAGGAATCGGACATAGAAAGTGTAAAATATAAAATAATAATAATATAAGATGGAGTTGGAGTTGGAGTTGGAGATGATGAGGTTGTAGTAATGATGAAGAGTGGGAAGAAAAAATATTAAAGAAACTAATGGAATATTTAGGGTTTGGTGACATGCAGTTCTTTGTTAATTAATTGCCTGATAATTTAAATATAGATAAATACACATTATCTCTACATTCAAAATGTCCCATGCATGTGTTCTTACAGTTTAGGACTAAGCGTGCCTGCAATTTTCCATCAACAAGTGACCAAAGGAATCTATGTATTTGAACGATAAAATTACCTTAGAATAGAATAATAATGGAAAATAGCAATTTGCTTTCTAATCTTAAAAAGGAATCAAGTTGATTCTTAATCTTTTACTAGAATTAATCAATTACACAATCAGCCTTAATTCAATATTTCCGTTTAATTGTCGTGTGATCTTATGCTCACTTCACATGTTAAGTTCAAGTTGAAAAATAAAGTAAAATTACTTAAAAGTTATATGCAAGAGTGACGAGACGATTTAACACTTGAATATATAATTTTTTTTTCTCTTATAATCAACTACGTTATAGTGATTTGTCTTGTAATAACATCATAAACAATAATTACGAAGTGCTGAAACGGGAAAAAAAATGTTAGGATCATGCTACACAAACATAATGGTTGATATGCGAGATGACCGAACACTTACACCTCGAAGGTCGGACATTATTTTATTCAAGCGGAGTCCACGCTCCATGTGAGGGTTGGTCACCCATTCGGTCGCCCATTTTCGGGCACTTCGGCATTATTCAAAATATTATATAGCCACTGTCAATATTGGGATTGTATTTGTTTCCTTTTAAATATGGAATGATGATATCATGATGATGAGAAACTAAAGAAACATTGTCTTTTTATCTTGAATTATCTTTCAACCGCACTTTCTATCTTTCTTTCATGCTGAAATTTGAAACATGCACATTGGTGAAAGCTGTAATAATTTTGTCCCAACTTTAATTTTAAAATCAATCAATTAATAATATCTCACCCACCTGAGGGAGTCAGCTAATTTGATTTATCATCCATCTAAATCATCCCATGCATTATAATTACGTGTAAGCATTTTTCGTAATTTAATTTCGTGTTTTATTCAATGTTCTAAAATTTCGTGTTTTACAATGATTCTCAACTTTTAGCCCCTGTTTGTTTTCTATTTTTTCTTCATTAAAATGAAAAATACAATCATTATCCATCTCATCAAACTGTCAAATTTGAATTTCTATCTCATGTGTGGGACCCATAACGGCTAATTTTTCGTTCCCATTTTTACACTAATATGTACCGAACGGGACCTAAATTAATTTTCATACATAATCAGTCTCATTTTTTCACTTCGATCTTCTGGATTTGACAAACGTTGAACTTATTTTTTCAGAGATTAAATATTCGTATATGTCAAAATATGTTGGATCGTCTATTCCTAGCTATGCATCATGAGAAAAGTCCTGGCCAAGACTAGCATGACTTAATCGTAGGGGTCCACAGTTGAAGTATGACTGTATTTGAAAGAATTTAGAAAATCTCACGTATAATTATGAAGATTAATGAATTTCTTTCTAACAGAAGCAATACTACATGTCTGTTTTGCACAAATATATAGTATTAAACGTAGCCGTAGATGAAAGCAAAAAAATAAAAATAAATTAGTGATCCAAATAAGTGGCATAATTAGCTGTCCATATGCCACACAATTAACATTTAACAACTACCTAAAATAAAATTTTATTAAGGACCGTGCTACACGTACATAATCATTTACACAATCATTTACACTCCACTCACATCATCAAGGTGGGGACCACGGCTCGACATTATTAAAAACACGCGGAGCCCGCGTGTTTGTGAGGGGGGGGGGGGGGGACACGCTTCGGTAACCCCCTCGGTACATATGGTTTATTTCTTTTATTAATTGATAGGTGATTATAAAGAAATGAATGCGATTCTTGTATGCATGATGGTGTAAGAAGTGGGACGGAGGGGACATTCGTTTTTAAAGGCACAATAAATACGTATCTATATACATCCTACTGAAAAAGCTGATTCAACTCTTTTTCAGCCCATCAAACGTGGTCTGGGTCCTGTTTCTTTGGCGAAAACAAGACAAAGGCCTTAAAAAGTTGAAATAAGGAGCCTTCTGACAAATAAATAATTAAATTAAGTTAAAACAAACACCCTTATTTATTTGATAATTTTTTAAGAAACAAAATAATTGAAGCCTTAAATTTATAGCACAAAACAAAGCATAGTTCCCTTTACTTGAAATAACATAGGGAAACAATGTCCTTGGACCTCGTAGAAGATAAAGAAACCATTGAAAGAAATTTGTAAAGCTCCACAAAATGTTATTTGACTATTTTGAGACCAACTTTATATATATGAGGTTTTCTAAATAATTGAAAATTATATGGGGGATAGCACTCTATGTCACCTATATTCAAAATCATCCCATAATATGGTTATAAAATTTGTAATTGTGCTTTAGACTTTTTTGTTGGTGTTATAAATATGTGCGGTGAAAGGGTTGTTTATGTAAAGAACAAACAAGGATAAATTTAGCCCACATGAGGGTGATTAAACACAACAAATATGAGGATAAAAATGTAGTATATGAACTACAATGAAACCAAAATAACATAAGAAAGAAAGAAGAAAGATGAAGTAATCAGAGACAAGTGATATCACTTTCTCCTTAAGACAATACTGCCGAGCAATGGTGCTCACGGATCATGGCACTTGTCCTCCAAGATATAATAAATTCAACTTGTGATAGTAGCACTTCGAACCACAAGTTATGACAAACTTTGACGGAATTCCCTCTCTGCAAGGAAAAAGGGCTTATGGAAAATGATTTTGAAAAGATTTTGCAAGAGATTTATGAAATGCTTGATGCAAGTATGAGATGGTATGCAAAAGGATGTCCAAAGAGTCCTAGTTATAGAGGATGAGGGATTGTGAGCAAAGTGGTGCAAGTCAAACCTCGCAATCTTTCGAATAGAAGCGATACTTCTCATCGCTAGCCTGTCGCTAGACTTTCGCCCGATCGAAATTCAGCTTAACGTTTTTCGCTTGCTTGTCACTCGAATGACAACCACATTGCTCAAGAGATAATCAAGCTTCCCAAGCAAAAAACAAACAGTTTCCTCTATTTTTATTCCAACTTTGGGCTGCAATTTCTCACTCATAAGAAATTGGTTTCAAGATTTTAAATATATCATGATGATCTGTCCGACGAGTATAACGAGTTGGTCTATTTATATTTGTAATTTGACCATTGGATCAAGTCCAAATATTTGGTCGAAGTTGACACAAAAGTCACTTTTCCAACTTTTGGTTTTCATACTTAACCAATTTTACTCAATTTTTCAAACCAATTTCCAACGGTTGGTCTTGTTGGATATGAATAAGAAGTGGGAGAAAGGAGGCAAGCATGAAAACACGTAGCTCTCTTTGATGGAGACGTCTTTCTACCCCTCAAAAAATTCCTGCTTAAGATTCAAACAAGTGCCACAATTTCCATCCTCATTCTTGCTTTCAATGTGCGAATTGTTCTATGATTATGCATGTTTTACTTGTCGTGAAATGTTATCTTGACTATCGTAAGAATTATCATAGAAACAAGTTTTTCATAAGTGCAATATTTTATGTTTGTACGTTGAACGTTTCATATTCTAACTTAGGAAAGTACTAATCTTACTTTCTATGCTATATTTGCCACCGTGAATGCTAGCTAATTTAGGTTAAGAAATTAATACAGCTTAACCTAGTATTTGAGTTCACTGCCTTTATTTTTTGAGTTATAAAATGTCCCCAACTTTCAATTTCGTAATATTTGAGTACCAATAAGCATTCAGTGTTATTGACTGCCAAGCGAGTAATGTGCAATGCACATGAAACACTTTGTTTTGCGATTAAGAGTTGCTTGCCTCCCACTCCCCGGTTCTCCCTCTAGTGATATGTCATGGACTCCGAAGCCAAAAAAATAAAGGCTGAGCATATCTAAAATGCACTATTGTCATAATTTGACATCTATAATTAGTAGCGAAGGTTGAACTTACTGAAAGCTTTTGCTTAGTTCCAAATTTATGTGAAGAAATATCCTGTAAGAGGGTTTGAAAAGAAAAAATTCCTATTTGTGTTATGAGTGGAAGATTTGTTGCAATTAATATATGAACAATTCATCCCCTTTTATAAGTAGCTTAATTTTTTTAGATCATATTGTTAATTTGACTTAGTATTCAAGTAGACCAACATTTTGCGTGCGATTGTCGCTCTTACTAATATGAAAATTGTACGTGTTAAGTTTTTGGCAAAAATCATAATTAAATTCATCTCGTGTATAAAATGATAATGCCTAATAACGTAAAATCTTATACGTCTTTAAACATGTGTGCCCCTACAAAGCCAAAAAGGACCTTTTCATGATATGAAAAAGGAGTGAATTTCTCGAGTAATTTCAATTCTTGGAACAAGACCTAAAGTTAGCTGTAAAATCTCCACCAGAAAACAAATAGAACATGCATTTTATCTTAATAATGAAGTCAAGAAGAAAAAGAAAAGAGCATACATATACTGTTCGACCTGGCCTTTCGATATACGTAGATATTATATATATGTATGACTTTGACATTATATAAACTTTATTTTAACTGACTGACCACCATCTACCCACCCCTGCAACTATTTCATCCCTTCACAATCTTCCAAACAATAAGAATTAATGGAAAGTGAAATTTTACAACTTTTATTCACTCCTTATTGTCATTTGATCTGTCTTAGGTAATAAAAAGGGAAAACACACAGACACACACAATATTCTTATCTGGTCGATGGGTATCAATGTCTCCATAGTATCTAAATATGTTCTTTGAAACAGCATATAACTCTATCCAATTTAAGCAGTTGCTCCCAATTCATGGCTTTCATTGAGATTAAGGTTAAGTTGAACAAGAACGCTCATGAGTATTGGCTACTGGGTTTTGTGGATTTTTCAGAATGACCATGATTCCTTCTCAAAACCTCTTCAGGCAGCGGTTTTGTGGTAATTATTGTCAGGGTTTTGGTCTTGTGAGCCCATCAGATGGTTTTGATTATTGTACTGAAACTTGTTTGTTAGGATCTGATCACCAGCTTGATCCTATGGCGGAAGATGAATCAAGAACTGGGAATAGTGTAAACGAAACTGCAGGCTCCAGTCTAAAAGATGTCCAACAAGATAAAGATGAAGGCTGGCTGCAATTAAGTATTGGTGGCCACACAGTAAGCAATAATAAGAAGAAAGAAGATCAGGTGGATCAAAGAGGGAGATTAATCGAGCTTGATCTTCTACCAAGTAGTAATTGTAATTCTGATTCGCAAGTGATGAAGACAGTAGGTCCTATGCTTAACATGCCGGAATATCCAGCTCCTCAGGCGATAGTTATGAATTTGGCTGTTGGTTCAAGCTATAACCTCCCATTTCCCTGGCAACATCCGGCCGGAACTAGTTCTAATTTTCCTCGTCAAGGGATTAACTTGGCGATTAGGCCTATTCCAGTTAATACAGCAACATCTTTGTCGTCAATGCCACCCCTTCCATTCCAACCCCATACCAGAATGGATATCTCAGGGCCAGGTGTTGACTTCAAAGTCATTTGTCCTCCTCGGAGACCACATTCCGGCATATGGTTTATGCTTCAAGCATCACAAAATCAGTAAGTAATATTCATCACTGTTAGGTCATCCTTTTACTTTGCATTTTCAGTTTTTGTTCATTATCCTATTTTTATTTTTATTTTTTTGGTTCCTCATCATTTTCTTACGGCATTTCATTTTTTTATTGCAGAGCAAAAGAGCCGCTTTTGCCTCAGATATCCAGGAGCTATCTAAGAATCAAGTAATTCTCTTTCTGCAGCTCTTGGTTTTCATGTCCTTTCATTTCTCCATTTTCTCGTTTTCTTTAGGTCTGCATTAATTTATCTTTAAACTGTTAGGGATGGAAGGATGACGATTCAATTCGTAATTAAGTATCTGGTTACTAAGTTTGGACTCGAAAGCGAATCAGAGGTATGAAATCAATCCGGTTGCATTTTTCTGCCCCCCCCCCCATGAGCTCATATAAAGTCATTATTTTTGCTTGTTTCATCCTAAGTCCTTATTTCCTTCATTTATTTTAGTAATGAGGTCAACTATTGTACGTTATTCAAAACTCTCCTCGTCATTACATCTGGTGAAGTGTTTCTTCGACTTTTGGTCATTCTCTAACTTGCTTCTTGAAGGTGATCATGTAAATTTATCATTGTGCCCTTTGGAAAATCCATGACTTCCACACAATCTTCATTACTATATCCAAAAGCATTCCGATATATTCTAACACATTAGAATTATCCAACCCCATATTGTCTTTGTCCATTGTCTTATTAAGACCAAGCCAAATATCAACCTTCAACGCCATAAAGCTACCTGAACACTCTTAACAAAATCCTCCACTGCATGTCGAGATTGCAAGATAAGCATGATTTGATGACTCTTCAATTGATTCAATAGCCCTTGCTCCCTTTGGCCCTCATCCCAATCTATACATTTTCTTAAACTCTTAACATAAACGGATGAGAAAACAACAGAATATTGTCTCTCAAACAAAACAAACTATGAGCAACAACAAGATAATCAAATAAATAGATTTTATAATGTGACATTCAACATAAATAAATGAATTTATTTATTTATTTTGATTGACATTTTCATCATCAATAATGTATTGAATTTACTTTTATGATGTGTGACACTCAATATAACTCATGCTTCTCTCTGTGATTCCATGCATTTTTTGTTCTAAAGGTCTACTCTCTCTTTTTTCTTTTTCTTTTTTGTTCTTTTTTTCTTTTTTGTAATTTTCTGAAGTCTTCCTCATAAGCATGGCTTGAGTGAATTCTGATTACATTATAACAAAAACCATGTTCATTCTAGCCTTAATGTCAAATCTTACGTTTCACACAAGGCATGTAACTAATTAAGGGACCAATGATTGGGATTTTAAGTGGTTGAGAATGAAGTATCGGTGTCGACTAAAATATCATGTCCATTTATAATTAATTAGGATTAGGAACAATGTTTCTTTTCACACAGAAACATGCACGAACAAGACATTGATGAAAAATCTTGAGATGATTTGCCATCAAATCAGGAAAGTTTCCCACAGCTTCAAATTATTTGTTCTCACACTAGGCATGATATAAGACTATATTGTTAGGGACCGAGGTTCTATTTTTTACTCATTAAGCGATAATTTATATCTATCTTTTTCGAATTAGGAAGAATAAGATCCAACTCTCGCTGTATTAGATTGGTCATCTTGAGAGTCAATTAACTACGAAGTCTTGCAAGTAAATTGGGTCTACATTTGTTAGGATCTTTCTCCCACACCACACATCTAGAGATCATCTTTTCTTTTTCTTTTTTTAAAAAAAAATGGTTGAATCCCAACCTTGAAAACTCCCATTGTCCCGTCCCTGGAGTATCATGAGAGAAGTAAATCACGGGATGTACTCCAACAAGCCAGTGAACAAGAATTTGTCTGTACACTGTTGCCCATAAAGAGTCTAATTCGATATCTCAAAAATCAAATTCTCACACTACGACTGTCAACAAGGTTGAGACTACCTCGCTCGTATTTTTTGCACCACTGAATTATACCCCAAAGAGCCATCTAGAGATCTTTGTAGCATGAATGATGTATTAGGTAATGATTATTGGCAGAAAATTGAGGAGAGATATAACCTACTTTTAAAACAACGTGACCTTAAAGAGTCATATGGCAAATGATGAATATAGGGAATGAAAAGGTGTCATTTAAGGTGGGCGGCGGGTTTGCTATCATCTTTTTGTTATTGCTAGAAATTTGGTCATGCTTTCAAGTGTTTCACATCAGCCAATGTAGGCCCTTAATCTCCCGCATTTTGTGCAAATAAAAAGGTAACTAATACTTTTATGAAGTGCACTTCGATAGTATTCGAACGGTACCTTGAGAAAATTAATCATATTGCATGGGATCATGTGTACAAGATTTTAGTTTCACATATAAATAATATTGGATTGCTCGACACACTATATGATATGCTTTATACTTTAAAAAAGAAAAAATAAATAAATAAATTATAATCAAATGAAGATATTTGTGTTTTACGCAGGAAAGAAAGCAATGCATACTGGATCATGTTGAGTAGTCATTTTTATGTTCTTGACAAGAAACAATTGATTGATAATAAAAATAAAGGAAAATGCTCCTCTACCAGACCTGTAAAAGGTTTGGTAGAGGCCTCCTCTCCTATTTTCTCTCACCTCGACGGGCGCCATGATTAAAAAAATGCCCCCCAAAAACTCACTCCCACCTCGAACTGTGAGAGGGGCTGCACTACCAGGCCTCTTACAGGTCTAGTAGTGTAGCATGGTCGAAAAATAAATTATATAGTCAAACCTGTATGAAGAGAATATGTTGCACAATAATAAATCATTAAGAAAATGTCTCGTTGCCAGGTTGTAGAGATTTTGTATAAGAATGGAATTAAAGTTTAGCGTCTATTAAGGAGAGAATTAGACGTGCATGAAGATAGTGATTAGGTAGAGATTAAGATATATTATTTATCAATTATATGCTTGCTTGCACTATATACATATATATATTTGAAGTCTTTGAAGTATAATGATTTTGGCTTAGGATCAAAGGCTGCATGGGTCCCCTTCAACATGATTAGAAGACCAACATTTTTAATCGTGGACACCAATGGCTTACTGCTGATACAATTATTTATAAACAGGTAGATATATGTTTGAAGGAAGGAATCTGTGTAGAAACGAAACCAGGAGCCTAGGATCGTACTATACGTACATAATGCTTTACCTAACCGTTTACCTGCTACTCACATCATTTGGGTGGAACCTCGATTCAAATTATTAAATAAAACATGGGGCCCACATGTTTGTGAGGGGGGTGTAAACGATTCGGTACACCCCCCTCGGTACAAATGGTTTATTCCTTAACAATATATATCATGGGAAAGAATTTTTAGTGCATAACATTGATTTTGGGTTTCTGGTGGCAGATAGAGATAACGTGTAAAAGGCAAAGGCTTCAACCTTTCTTGACGTTGCAGCATGTTAGGGACAACATATGGAGACCAATGGAGTTGGTGACTTTGCTTCCAGATTCCTCAACTACTGATCACATAATGGTGCTACACTATGGAAGAAAAAGTACTTAATTAATTTAATTATTTACTTTCGTATGATGTTTACTTATTTTTTTTTCACATCTAACCTTTTTATGGTCAATTAAATTATAATTCCGTAATGATCTTTAAGAAAACATATACTTCATATAAGCCCCATGATATTATGCCAGGAGGTATTGGGTTTTGGTATTCATTGATTCGAAATTTGTTTGCATTATTTTTCCAATTTTCTACTCAGTATTTGTTCCCTTTTTCTTATGTCTTCCAATATACTTTTCCCTTCTCAAAACTGACAATAAATAAATTACAAACGAAAACTTGCAACTCTTCAGATTCACTAAAGATATGTACAAATCCCTGGAGCCCGTTTGAGCTACATTATTTGAATGAAAAATAGAACCGTTATGGACCCCACACAAGAAATAAAAATTAAAAAATAGTGACTTGATGTAATGAATGACAGTCATATTTTTTATTTTAATGAGGTAAAAATGGAGCTCAAACACTAGTAAGAAATGAACTACTTGGATTTGACATTCATCTATTGCAGAATCAACAATTATGAGAAACGCGCAAGTATACGTTATTAATCACAATTATGTTCAGGGGATACTAATTTGTGCAATGGCAACATTTGGACAAGTTGATGATGGACCAGAAAAACACCTGAGAATTACAATAAAAATTTTATTACCATTACGATTTCAAATATAATGATAACTAAATCTAGAGAAATCCTACTGCTAATTTCACAGTTCCATTCAGCTGATTATCTATTTCTTGCTTGCTTGAAATTAATTCAAAGTATTTCTGCCAATCACACGTGCCCAGACTCTAGTAATTATATCAAACAAATGCCAAAACACTGACTCTTGAGATATATTACTTCCCCAGTTGAAGAAAGCAAATATCAGTTGATTTCATGTGCCATAAATGCAGCAGATTTACCACTCCACAAGAAACAGACCATGGAAATTAAAGTATAATAGCATACAAGCACAGCCAAGCAGCAACAACCATGCACAATTGTTTGTGCCAATATGCCACTGCCCATCTCAGATGTAAACCTACTGAATTCATGCCAGAAATGTGGGATAATAATATGAGCGAGAGCAATTCCTTCAAAATAAATGGATACTTGAAAGCGGTATACACTGGAGCACTAAAAATTAATTTAAAATACAGGGTAACACTTGCGAGCTACAAAAAATAAAGGCATGGAGAGGATCTGGCTCCAGGTTCCTGAAGCTATGTTGAAAATTAACTCTAACTAGCAAGGCAATAGAAACTCCAGATACCATGGTCAAATTGATTACAACAAGGAAAGCGCTGACACAGAAACTAAGAAAATTGAAGGCAACAATACATGTATTATAGGATGAATGATTTTCCATATCAACAGAGAAACCAAAAGAGAGATTAAAAGCACTGATCCCTATATGATTTCTACCCTGCCTGAGAACAATTTAGAAATGCCAAAGCCACCTCTACAAATGATTTCTACTCAGAAACTACAGATAACATGTCAATAATAGCTAGAAAATGGTAGATAGGTATAAACAGAGCCGAATTTACAGGCCGTTCATTTAAAACATCTAAATATCACTGTATGCAGATGGAATTACGAATGGGGTTGGTGTTATGAGTTTCTTTGTAAGAGAAGGTATCAAATATGTGGGGGGTGGACGCATATCTTCTTATCTTTTCTTCTATTTATCGGATGTTTTAGTATTTTTTTCATTCATCCCCATCCAACAATAAAAGACTTTTGGGGAGTTAATATATCAATTGGAGGTTTAATGTAATTCAATGCAGGTATCACATATTTTGTAAGGACTATTTGACAAGCACGCAGTTAAGGTCATCAATGTTTCAACCAACTCTTGTTCTTAATAAATTAAGCATGGGAAAATACTAAGCTTATTAGTTTGTATTTTGTTGGTGTACAATACTTCTTATGTACAAATGATTAAATACTCCTAATTCCTTTTAAAACATCCACAAATACTGTTTTCTTTCCAAAAATAATTATTGAGTTTCGGAAGATGCATTTACATATATGATATGAATAAACAAGGATTCCTTTAAATAAATTGTTAGGAAAATATGAAGATTAAACATTTTTGGTTCAACCAAAGGTTACTTAGCCTATGTTTGGCTCATGTTTGTAAACTGTTTATAAGCACTCAAATCATTTTTTATTCATACATTTCGAGGGATCCATAGTACTACCCTCTTATCCATCACTCAATTTTTTATGTAATTTAAATCATTTATATACATTTCCCAAACATGCTCTTAACTTCAATTTATTGTAAGTCTCTATGCACCTCCGTCGAAAATATTTTAGTGTCTTAAGTAGCCATTATTCAACTGAAATGTAAAACTTACATGGCAGGTGCCTGCAATGAAATGCTGACGAGTGCTTTCTATAAAAAAGAAAACAAAATATCATATTATCCCTCACCCTCTTCCCATCCGTTCGTCTTCTCTAAACAATAATCAGGTCACTCATCCCTTAACCAATATGTATATCAATTATTTGGTTAAAGGAAGTCAAAGTCATCATTACATATCAGAGAAGCCACAGGGTCTTTGACGATTCTTAACACAATGAAGAGCACATATGCCGAGGGCAGTAAATTTGGTTGGAGAAGATGAAACTAGTGGTGAGGGGGGAAGGTGATAAAAGCACAGCACTAAAACCAAAAACACAAAAACACATTTTTTGTTTAGATCCCCATGGCATTACTAAAAAAAATATCCAGTTCAACTTTTAGTCAAGTTGCAAAGCTTATCTATCCTCTGCAATGTCAAGTGCTCATCCCTGGAAGATTCATTGCAATAAACAACCTGATTTTGTATAGAAGTGTTGGGATGGGGTGGTGTGTGATGGAGAAATGTACTGGAAGCAACAACAGCCGAGGCGGTACAAGTTAGGTCGAGGGATGAGGTTCAGATTATTTTTTCTTTTTTCTTTTTTCTTTTTTTTTTTTTCCAGAAAGTGCCTCTATAGAATTCCATAACAGTTGAATGACACACAAGTTGTACACGTAATCAAATAACAGCCATGCAGGACACTGACGATGAAATTAGAACAGAACCAGAAGGGGTGACCTATTGTGTAACAAAATTAAAGATGAGCGACCTCACTGCAACAACTTAAAGTTAGAAAGACACAAAAAAATAAGATTTTACAGAAAGTTTAGTCACCAAAAATGTGATTTATCCAAAATTAAAATGCCTGATCATGCTATAAACTCTCACCCGAACCCTCTGCAGATTTAAACCACCCCATCCAATTGAGAAGAGAGGGAGTACTTATTAGTTGGTAAACTATTAGATTCTTCTAGCCCAATGTACATAGGTCACACACCTCTTCGGAGTATGTTAAATAAAAATGTATCATATAAAGGGAAAAGATAGCTCCAAATGTTGGAGGAGATATAATTGCTATCCACAATTCGACCTCTTGAAATCATTTGAAATAAATGGTACTATGTCAAAAAGAAGTGAAAAATGTATTGTATGATTCTGTCTCTTGATGTTATTTCAATCGCTCCATATTGCCTCTCATAGAAACCTCTTACGGATAAAGGCCTTCAAAGTTCCTTCAACTTACCCACACAACTGTTCTGCATCAGATTTGAACTAAGTGACACAAGTCAGAAGCAATGGAAGAATGGAAGCGGGAAAAAAGCATGATATATCAAAAAAAATAAAAAAATTTGACCATAGAAGAATCAAAGAAAAATTACACTCATGTAGTACATATTGTTCCCACTTAGCAAAATACTAGTTTTTATCTCTAAATAGCCTTAACAAACCAATTATAAAATTTGATTCTGAACTAAGAAGTAATTTACAATTTTTCCCCTATGAAATCAATATTATTAATAATCCAACTAAACAATGGCCTCTCAACAGATGTGTACATTTTATAATCTTCTTAATCCAAGTATTTTCCAAATTGTACAACAATTGCCTAAAGTATAATATAATTCTACAAGTTCCTAAAGTATAATATAATTCAACAAGTTCCACATCAGGGTACAATTCTAAATGTTATCTATAAAAGGCATCCTAAGAAAAGTGGTTTTAATATATTTCTTTTCACAAGTAAAATTATAGTGGAATGCATTGTGCACCTCAGCATGCCTACGACCAGATGTCTAACAAAAAATGGAAAACGAAAAGGTTGTTTCCATAAATTATGAAGAAATACACCACAAGTTACAAGGCGTTTACTGGAATTTCAAGAATTTTTAAAGTAAATACTTCCATCAATAATTTCCTCACTTGAATTGCACAAAGAACTTATATTATGCACACAAACAAAATGGCATTCCTTGAAAATTAAGAGACTTCCATTTAGATTATTTCTCATTTCATTTGCTCAAAACACTCACATAATCAGAATTTTAGATGCGAACAAATAGATAAAGTAATTGCCTTGAACTGCATCTTTATTGTTTAGTAAAGAACTCGAGAAGACGGCCCACGTTCATTAGGTGTTTTAAGAAGGAAACATCATCATCGTAAAATATATAATATATTTTACAAAGTCAGAGCATGAGTCTACAGATTTAGTGCTCAGTCCTTTAAAGTTGGAGATTTTATTTGTACTAGTGCTACTTACTTTTAATGTAGGACTTTTTATTAGTTCATTAGCTTCAATGACATCTAAATGCAATTAAAATGCTTCACACCTTGAATAAAAGGCCTAACCAGGCAATCTAACCAAGTCATGATGTTTCTTTCCTTGCTATCTTCCTTTATACGTTTAGCAGTTACAATTCATAACTAATAACACATTAGAGCAGCATAAAAAACACTAACTCCAAAAATAAGTTACCATAAGAAAATTATACCACCAGTATTTGGGTTAGCAAAAAAAAAAAAAAAAGCATGAAACAAAAATTCTAAACCGATTTATACAACATGGAACTCACGAAAACCCTTTCTGCAGCTTGAGAATAGCAGAGTACATTTTCCTCCGTGAGCCAACAGCATTGATCCCCATGTCCTTGAGATCCTCCAATGTCAACATGGGCAATACCTCATCATCAACCTCGTGTACCTCAAAAACTGGGGAGTATCTGCCCAACCCCAACCCAATTAACCATTCCCTCACTGCAACGTTCCGCCCACTGCGCTGTTCCTGCGAATTCATCTCGTCATGAGTAATTCCATTACTCTCCGAAACCCGGACCCTACTTCCTCTCCTCTGTTGATCCCAATACTGCAGCCCCATATTCTCAACAGAATTGACCGGGCTCTGCTCTTTTAACAGGGGACTCTCAGAGCCCTCGGGCTCAAAATCCTGAAATTCGGCATTATTATTATTATTCCGTTCTTCATCAAAATTGTTCCCGCTATCAGCTATCGCTCCTCCTCCACCAGCGCCACCACCTCCATTATTGACCGCGGATTCAAATTTATTCCAGTTGGTCCGGACCCGCTTGGTAGCCTTCTTATTCTTCGGCTTCCGGTGGGTGAGCTCCATGGAGACTGTGTAATTCTCGGTGGGTTCGAGGGTATTTTGGTAATTCGACTCACCGCCGTTAACCAGGTTTGTGAGGGGACGGGTCCTGGATGCCTTGGTGGCGAAAGAAGGGTCTTTGTGGAAGCGCCATGTTTTGTTAGGGCGACGGTTGTGGTGGTCATAAGGTGGGTCGCCACCGATCTCGCCCAAGCGGACACTGGGCCGACGCTGTCGTTTGGGGGCAAGGCTCGGAGCCGGGTTGTTGGTGGCAGAGGGTCCTGCTTTAGGGTTTGAGTGATCAATTGGAGGTGGGCCAGAAGATTGGGCGTTAGTGGTTGGTGGGCCAATCGAAATTGAGACTTCCGGCGGCTGTAGCTCCGTTGCCATGAAGGCGAAGAGAGTGTCAGTATGTTAGTGTGGGTACGAAGTGAGAGTGCAATTTTTAGTGAGTCAGATAAGGGAAGTGGGAATGATCTAGTGATTGCGGGCGTAGGGCGTCTGTTTCTGAGATTTGGAGATTTTTGGGAAACAAGTGAGGTAACAATTTGGGCTGACTTTTTGGGCTTATCGAGACTGGTCACAAGGAGAAGGAAATATCACATAATCACTACATTATAAAAACACATATCACAATTGACAAACTACCTAAAATCTTTCATAAATCAGGAGGTAAATAAAAAATAAAAAATATATTATGTTATAATATAATATACTATTTTTGGACAAAAAAAATACTAATCTGCTCCAAATAAGTAAATATACCGTAATTAAATATATTTCTCACTTTCCTCACAAAATCAAATCCAATTTTCTCTCTCTAACTAACGAAAACTCTCCAAAACCTCACCCGATTTTCTCTCTCTAAACAACCCATTCCTGAAAAACTCTCCAAAACCACAAAAACTTCATTGTCATTCCTCAATTTCGAGTTAAAATCAATAAATAAAGTCACAATCTTGTTCAAATACTTCTAATTTTCATTATTATGGAGAAGTTGAAGCTCGGATATGAAGGAATTGGATTTTCTCTGAATAAAAATTGAAGTTCTGTGATTGTCAAAATAACATTAAATCACGAAAAATAAATTGTTAATCATCAATTTCAAGCTACAATCATCCAACGAAGTCACAATTTTGTCGACATAGTTCTGATTTTAGTTTTGGAGAAGTTGAAGCTCGACAATTTTAAGGTTTTTTCTTACATTTAAAATTATCGTTCAATTTATTCTTTTTTTATACATGTTGAAACTCGGCAAAAAATACGTGTATAAGTATAACTGTTTATATAGTTATAAACATGTTGATCTATGACTATTTGTAACCATTTATGTAATTTATTCATATAGATATATGTTTCTATTGACTGTGACTAGTTGTGACTACGAAATTGAATAGATTGCGACCTATATGTTAAATGTCCTGACAGTTCATCTGTGGAAATAGTTTGATCTATGATCAATGTCATCGCATTAAAAGTTGACTCTCTGTGACCTTATATTTGTTCATTGTATGTGAATATATTGACATTTCATCTGGACTTTTGTGACCTGTAACTTCTTGATCTGTGACTTGTATTGACCACTGTCATTATATCTGAATGTTTCCTGACTTTAATGAATAAAGTGTGACATGCTTTTATTTGTCTGTGATCAGGGATGGCAATTATTCACGTATGCCTGTTATATGAAAGTCACACATCACTTATATTATTGAATGGTACATGCAAGTATGATGAATTGGTTGACCTTGTTGTTTCAGAGTTGGGGTTTAGTCACGCAGAAGTATCTATAAGATTAACATATTTTTGGATTCTACTTTACCTCCAGTCCGGATTCTAAGCAACAACAATGTCTTAACATATTTGAGGATAAAATCTTTGGATGGAACTGTATCAAACTATCCTATTATCATTGATGTTATCGCTGCAAATTCATGTCAATCAACATGTGCACTGCAATGCCCAGACTCATCAACTACTTCTATTGAGTCATTAGCTAATGTATATTCTTTACAACAAATAGCTTAGAATATTTGTGACTCGGTCATGACGATCGAGAAAGGAAACATTGAAGAAGATGTGACATTAGTATCTCAAGCAGATGCTAGAGAAGTAGTTGAGGGAAAAGTTTTCCACAACAAGGAAATATTAAAAATGAGCTTGGTCTTCTATGTCATACAAAACAAGTTTGAATACAACGTGTTGAGATCGGACAAGAAAGAGTACATAATAAAGTGTTCGCATAACGATTGCAAATGGATATTTAGATCATCACGCTTGGGAGAAACGAAAATGTTTAAAATCAGGAAAATGTGTAATGGTCACACATGCTCCATGAACATTGTCTTAGGATCTCATCGACAAGCATCTAGCTTAATTGTATCCAACTGCATCAAGTACAAATATACTTCTTCACGTACAATCTATACCCCTAATGACATGTTAAATAAATATGGAGTATCGATGAACTACATGAAGGCATGGAGGTCACATAAAAAGACATTAAAATTGACTAGAGGTGATTTGACGACATCATTTCAATTGCTGCCTTTTTATTTCTTTATGCTAAAACAGATGAACATAGGGACAGTCACAAGAATAGAAACGGATCATTTAGATAGATTTAAATATTGTTTTATGGCTTTAGGTGTATCAATCGCCGGTTGTAAATATTGTAGGCCAATCATTGTAGTTGATGGTACATATTTAAATGGTCACTATAGGGGTACACTCTTTACGGCTTGTACACAAGATGCAAACAACAATATCTTCATACTAGCTTTTGGGATTGGGGATAATGAAAACAATAAGTCATGGAGATGGTTTCTTGAGATGTTGAAGAGGGCATACGGATCTAGAGACGGATTATGTATAGTATCCGATAGACACAGTAGCATAAGAAATGCCATTGAATTTGTATATTCAGAAGCAATGCATGGGATTTTTTCATACCATTTGCTGAAAAATTTGAAGACTCATTGTGCAAAATCAGGTCACAATGTCACACATGCATTCAATTCTGCTATAAGAGCTTATACAGTGGATGAATTTGAATAACAAATGCACAATTGGACTCAATAAATGAAGAGATCAAGGGATATTTGGTATGTGATTGTCTGAAACATATGTTGTGACTTCTTGTGACTTGTTCTGTGATGCTATGAAATTTCTATGAATATCTGTGATCATGCATATTTAATTTACAAACTATATTTCATATATTGTTACATGAAATTGAAATATGATTATGAATGAAATATATTAGTGGATATTTAGCATGTGGTCTTATTTACAATTGAAACATGATATAGTTTTATGAATGTGTCCATTTGTGACCTGTTGTGTGATAATAGTAACTATCTGTGAACTTTTTAGAGTTAATTGTGACCATATGTGACTTGTTACTTATAATTGAATCTATTATCTAATAATTTTTTGTAGTTGAATGTTGGATATGAAAAATGGTCAAGATTGCACATGCCAACCAATAGATACTCTACTATGACATCAAATATAGTAGAATCTGTTAACGCAGTCGCGAAGGTGGCAAAAAATTACCCCATTAGAGCACTTCTAGAATCATTGAGGCAAACGATACAATCTTGGTTTTGCAAACATAGAGATGACGCACATGGCACTTTCACAAAGCTTGCAACATAATATGAGAAGCTGTTAAGGGAAATGAGCAATGATGTGAGAAATCTAAAGTTAAAAATAGGAAAACTATGTTTATTATGTTGATCACAAGAATAACTTTAAATAATTTTTATTTTCAGGTTTCACCTGCCAGTCACACTTTGTTTGAAGTGATGGACAATTCTTCATCTTACATGATTAATATAACTCTACATATATGTAGTTGTAGAATGTTTCAAGTGGATCAACTTCCCTGTCCACATGCATTGACAGTAATAGCAACATTGAAGCGGAATGTGTATGACTTTTGCTCGGTGTATTACACAAGATATGCATATCTGAATACCTACAAAGAGACTGTCTTTCCTATTGGTAATAAAACAGAATGGAATTTGCCAGAAGATGTGAGTAATAGAGTTGTTTTGGCTCCAGACCAAAAGAGAAGTTCTGGACGGCCTACTGAGAAAAGAAAGAAATCAGCATATGAGAGATCACAAGTTGTGAAATGTGGAAGATTCGGTGAATCCAGTCACAATCGTCAAACATGCAGGAACATGATGTCATTTAACTAGAATGACAGAAAATTGAAAATAAAGAAAGATTCAAAGAAATTCAAATAGCTTACCATAATTTTTTACACAATGATATTCTTTGTAATTGCAAATTGCTTCATTTTATTGCAAAAGTATGTATTTTTTGGATTATAAGAGTTGACAGATTTATGCGTTGAGCTTACATTATATCTCATGATGTCACGTATTTTTGGAAAGGGCTGTGTAGATAGACAATGATTGTGACTCTGTTTGTGATGACTGTGACCATTTCAAGTATAAAATAAGCTCTATATTTTTTGTTTAACTTGTGTGTTCAACTTACTCTGAATGTCATCTTCCAATAGATGAGACCAATTTTGTGCTTACTTTTTTTTGTAAGGGTGTCAATCATAAATATTAAGCATTTGTAACCATTTGTGACATGTTCATATGTAACCAGTTAACCAACAGTTGCTACTCGTGACCATCTGTGACTTGCAATTATATAAGAAAGTACTCGTATGTGACCACTTGTGACGTACTCAAGTCATGCAAATTGACCAACTATTGTTATTTGTGACTTGGAGTTATATAACACATTATTCACATGTGACTATTTGTGACATTTTCAGACTGTGCAATATTCTCATGTGAACTGTTTAGACCCTGTAAACTTTTACATCCATAAAAAAATTTAGATGAAATAAACAAAAGCATTCACACAAACACCAGTTCTTTCGTATTGTACCAATTAATAAAAATAAATTCAAATTCACTTCCAAAACATATTACAAAAGATAACATCTATCGACTACATCATAAAAACTTCTGTTTGTCTAATTTTGAACAGCTATCAATCTAATCCATCATGAAAACAATGCCATCAACAATTTATTCATTCATCTGACTTTGAATTTCCCTTTCCAATCTGCCCCAATTGTTTGTTTTTGAACAACAACGCGGCAATTTCAAGTCTGGCATTCTCTGCATCAAAAGGCATTGGCATTTTTCCAAGATCATTGTGGAACAAATACTGTGCATACTTTATGACAAAAACTCCACAATCATGCCAGTAATATTTAAAGAAGACAAACCATAAGTAATTACTAAATGTTGATGGAAAATGATAAAACTTGCAATGTCCATAAGGGTTACCCATTTTATTGCTGAGGCAAACCATTGACAATGTTAACATTCAAGTCTCCAGATTTGTCATCAATACCATCACTAGTTTCCGTCCACAGCCCGACAAATTTTAACAGGTGTGTAAGAGTCTTCACAAGTGGTAAAACCCCTTCGCGAACCTTATTGTCCCTGTATGATTTGTTGCTTGAATTATATATGTAAAGGACGTGATTAGTAATATCAAGCTGCCCTAACATCCAATGAGCATGATTTGTGAGCATAATGGGCATCAACACAAATTCAACTTCTCTCCAAGCAGTATTAAATGGCAACCGTTCACCATTGATGGTTTTGATTAGCTCATCCTTCTCATTGACAATGCTTGGGTCTTGAGTAAATTTGGAGTATGATGATTTGATTGTCATATCAAATATGCAGTCTGTAGTGGTAGCTTTCATCTTCACACCTTCATCGAACTTGGCAAGTTGTCTTATATAATGGAAGTATGCATCCAGGTGCGGTATTAACAAAGAATATACATAAATAATACAAACTACTATGCATATCTGGAAAATGGTGACAAGAGTGTACCGTGCTGTTCAATGATGAATTAGAATCGATCAACGCATGCCGCCAAGTTTTATGATGAACAGTGTTAGTGCCACACACAAACTGAGGACTTATCACGTTAACTGCATTGTTGAACTTTACCCTGTGCACACACATATGCCCTCGTCAAACAAATGAATAAGATTGTGGAATAAGATTGTGACCAATTTATTTTGTCTATGATTAGCAATGCTATAGTCACAAAAAGTAATGGAAGGTCACAATTCACTAAAGAACACTTAAAATCTTTGTTTCATTTACTTGTTCTTGGGTTTGTATCCTCTGTCAAACCAATTTTAGAATGAACTCAGATATGTACTATCAACTCCCTTCGAATAATTTTGGAACACAACATTTATAGAGTTAGATTTTGATGTAGTAGCAGCATGACGTGGATCAACTTTAACAAAAGGTGACTGCAGAGTTTTCGATGGCTTTTGTGCTCTCTTCACAGGAAGTCCAGATGATGGCGATGCAGGTGTATCGTCCTAAATAAAAAACATTAAAAACAACATTTCTTAAAATAGTGTATGACAATCGGTCTGAATTAATAATATTAAAACACTAAATGTTCCACTAAAATTGAAATCTTTGGATTGAAGTTTAATAGACTCCAACACGCGTACAATAGCCTCATCAACCTGATCCTACACTTCTTTACTGGCAAAAAATGAATTATCAGAGCTTTTAGGTGTTTGTGAAGAGCCAACTCCTAGATCAAATGAAGGAGATTCAAGAACATAGTTATCATGAAGAGCATGTGGAAACTCAGGAGCCATGTGACCCTTGTCCATTTTTTCAGCCACATCATCACCTTTTCGCTCAGATTCTATGTGACCCTCGTCCATTTTTTCAGCCACATCATCACCTTTTGGTTCAGGTTCCATGTAACTCTTGCCCTTTTTGTCAACCATATCATCATGTTTCGGCACAGGTTCCATGTGACCCTTGCCCTTTTTGTCAACCACATCATCATCTTTCGGCACTTGTTCCGTCAAAATATCTTCACTGCTCAACTTCTTATGAAGTTCATCCATCACCGAAGATAAAATATCAGATACAGATTTAACAAAAGTTTTAAGAGACAACCTGATGTCACTCAAGCCATCTTTCAATATATTGTGACTTTGAATGACCTCATTAAGCTTTAAAGAATTGTTTGATTGACACAAGTTTACATTCATTTCAGATAATTCTGACTTCATCGACATAAGCTCCTCTTTCAGCCCTTTGTTCTCCACTTGGAGCTTGGTTATTTCCTTATCAATCAACTGCTTCAGTCGACTACATTCCTGATAAATTTTGTAGTTAGTAGAATTGTATATAAAATGTGTTCTTAAGTGAATAGATAATGATATTACTTACCTCAACACATGAGCAATCTGGATGGTAGGCAGCACTTTTCTGATCGCGAGAGCTAGAGTTAGCAACCCTCGTTTGTTTATACAGCGGTGGGTCTACAAAATCTGAATCTTCAATATGTACCTTCGACAGCAAGGGAGTTGCCTTACTTGTGCCTACTTGATTTTTAAAGATCCTAATGTTCTGAGTTAGTTGTCTAGGCTTTGAGTACTGTACATCTACCAATCGTACACAACATACACAAGAATGAAGAAAAGTCACAATGCACAAGTCACATGTTTCACGTGACAATCATATGAAGAAAGTCACAATCATATGAAGATAGTCACAAATCACAACATACATAAGGGCAAAGAAAGTCACAAGCCACAACATACATAATGACAAAAAAAGTCACAAGTTACACGTTTCAAGTCACAGTCATAAAAGATATGTCACTTTACAAACAGTATATTCATAATTCAGGTCACAAATCATATTTCATATCATAATATATGTGAAATTCATATTTAGAACCTGTCATATATGACGTTGTGAGCTCTACTTTAGATGGATCAATGTCGTTTATCACAACCTGTTTCATATAAGATGAAAAAAAATATTGAGCATGTGTCATTTTAAAATTTATACAATTAACCAAATGATTACATAACAATTTGGATGTATTTAAGACCTTACATTCTCATTACCAAACACTTTGTCCTCCAACATTGCCGCTGAAGAATGTTTGTGCACAGTCTAATTCATAATGCGTGGATACTTCTTATAAATTCTTGTGGCCACATTCCCCTCAAGTGCAGGTATGCACTCATACAGCCACACCTGGAAAGCCACTAAAAAACCTGTCAATCTGTAGTGACTAATTTGTTTTGATAGTCACTTTCTTAGTGACAATAAGGTGGTTTCAAACAAATATCTACCCCAAGAAAATGCTTCAAGAGTGGCAAAATCGTCTACAAGTGCAAATATATATTGATCCACCACCTTCGGGTAGGATGTAGCAAATAAATACAAGGTGATGAGATAGATAATTCCAATCTTAACAACATCAAGGTTTGGTGCATCATCCAGTGAAATAAAAACCCTCTTGACATCTTCACTTGTAACAAATTTTAAGTCCTTAAAATATATGTCCTTCACTGAAGACGGTTTTTCATCTAACATCGGTCGACCATCAACCCATCATACCTCAATCCTGTAACCAAAGAAAATTCAACAATTGAAAATCGAATATATCTCCCATTCAGGTTAAACCACATCTACTGCTTTTTCGGTTGCTTGACTTCCCGTAGTAAAATTTGGTGAATCAATTGTGGCTACATAACTATCTCCCTACAATGCATGTAGTAGGAGAAACATGTATTTTCTAGAATTTCCCTCTGGGCAGCATTAAACTTCATCACAAAGTGCGTAATGACACTCTGTATTGGTGTTGTGGTAATCTTCCCAGAAAACCAATTCCTTGGTTTTATTATATATTTACAGTCTTGCACAACGATAATGTTAAAAATATTACCGTGACCTTCGCTGTGACCAACACATACACATTCAGATCATAAATAGTTGGTCACAAAATTTCCAAAATCATAATACAAAGGAGTATAAAGTCATAACACCTATTTCATTCACAAACAATCTAGCACCCCTTAGAAAACGACATTCGATTAGAAAAATAGTAATTGATCTCATAGTACATAAAATAAGTCACAAACCCTTCAAATTACAAAATACATAAAATAGGTCACAAAATGATATTTCTTTACAGAATACCCAAATCAGGTCGCAAACTACACAAATAATAGGTCACAAATTTCAGAAATTAGGTCAAAAAATTTAAACTCACCTTCTTCATAGGTTTCCCGCTAGAGGCCGACATTTTAACTCTCTTTGTTGAAGAAGAATCTCCTCCAACATGTTTCCTCTTTCATTTATCCTTCTACATTACTTTCGCACCAATACTATGAGTTTTTGCCATTTCAAACACTACTATGCTTTGAACTAAAATGTAATATGAATATTTCTTCGATAAACAAAAATCTATTGAACGGTTGGTACCGGTAAAGAAATACAGTGAGACGTTTCTTTGCTGTATTGGAGAGAGAAATAATTTGTTCTGGTATTCACGAGATAGAGAGAGAGAGAGAGACGTGGTTTTCACGCACCGAACTGTACACACACAGAGAGAGAGAGAGAGAGAGAAACGCGATTTTGGTGAAAATTCAGCACGACACCACACTGTAGAGAGAGAGAAAGGCGGTTTATGGTAAAAAGATATGGAGGTGAGTTGAATGATGGATGTAGGGCTGGGCAAATCTTCCGAACCGAATCGAACCCCACGGTTCTTATCAAATTAAATACCTGAACGGGTATCTGAATTGAGAACCGACGGGTACGGTTCAGTTCTCGATTCTAGACCAAGAATCGAATCTTTCTAATTTTTTTTATATTGAGTAAATCAAATTATTTTAATTTTAATTTTAATTTTTTCTAAACAAATTAACAATTTCTAAATCCAAATTTTTAGCCCAATAATTTGTTTCATTTCTAATTTTTTTTAATTTTTGGCATCATTACCCATTTTATTATTTCATTTCTTTGCCCAACAAGATCCAATCCACTAAATAACTCTAAACAACTACACTAAAGTGCATAACGTTATCTCGACTCTCGCAGCCTCGCTGACATTTCAAAACCTGTACAATCATCGGTTGATGCTGTGACCTCCGATCGAAGTTGCGACTTCCGTCGTCGACTGAAGTTTTGATCATAGCGATCATTTGAACAAGGTAGTCTATTAGTCTATAGCATTTCAAAATCATTGAATGTATCATTAGTTGTATTTATATAATGTTGTTATAAATGTTAAAAAATTTAATTATAGTACAGAACCGAACCAAACCGAACGGAACCGAACCCGAACCTGAACCCGAACGGTTCCATAATTATATTTGGACCCGACAGTTCCATTTATTAGATACCCAAAAATTTTGGTTCTGTTCGATTCGATTTTCTTTAGAACCGAACCAAACCAAACCGACCCGCGCCCACCCCTAGATGGATGACTATGTGTAGAGAGACGTGATATGGACAGTTTAGATTGCATTATCACGTAAAATGCATAATTACGTTATTTTTATTAATTTTAAAATAAATAATTAACACATGATTTTAGAAGATTAAATTTAATGACCCTAGTTTTGAAATGTAAAAGCAGGTGTGAAATTTTTTTTAATCAGAATTCAGGTATAGTATTAATAATTAAATATTACACACCCTAACTAATTTCATACTAACCCTAAATCATTTTTCTTCTCCCTATTTATCTTTGAGTCATTTCTTCCCACACCTATCACCACTTCAAACTAGCAACTGACGATCATCGCACGCAGTGACAATCGCATCACTGGCGACAGGCTCTCTCTCCCTCTCTGTCTCTTTGTAGCGCTGTGTGATCTATTTCTATGGCTCGATCTCTCTCTCTCTCTCTCTCTCTCTCTTGCTGTATTCTACATATGCCTCTCCGTTGGTGTGATCTGATGGTGATGGTGGTGGTATGATGTGGTGGTGATGTCTGTGGTGTTGTTGGAGGCGACGGGGGTGGAGATGGTGGCGGGTTTGGGGTTTTTTTGTTGGGTGGTGGTTGTGGTGTGGTGTGGTGTGATGATATTTGTATTGTTGGGGATGATGGGAATGATGGTGGATCTAGTGGCGGCAACGACGAGGATGAAGGTGATGGCGGGTTTGGGATTTTCTTTTGTTGAGTGGTGGTTGTGGTGTGGTGTGATGATATTTGTATTGTTGGCGATGACGGGGATGATGGTGGATCAAGTGGCGGCAACGACGGGGATGGAGGTGATGGCGGGTTTGGGATTTTCTTTTATTGGGTGGTGATTGTGGTGTGGTGATGTCTGTGTCGTTGGTGATGATGGGAATGGTGGTGCATTTGGTGATGGTGATGTGATAAAGGTGGTGGCGAGTTTGGGGTGTCGTGGAGATGGAGGTTCTCTATTCTCATTGGTGATTGTTTTGGATATTGGGATGTTAGTGATGGTGATGGTAGTAGTAGTGCAATATTGGTGGTGTGGTGGAATGTTATGGTGGTGGTTGTTGGTAGTGAAGGTGATTGTTAATGGCTTGAAATTTGATAGTGATGGTTGTTGTGGTTTTTGTTGGTAGTTGTTTGGATTTGGTGGTGTCGATTTTGGTGGTAGTGCTGTTGTGGTGGTGGCGACGATGTCGGTGCCGGTGGTATGTGACCCACTATTTAGTGTATATTATTAATTATTTGGTTATTTCTGACTAACTATTAAAATGTGATTAACAAATTTAAAAATATGTGATCGATAAATAAATTATGACATATATTTTTTTTTATTTGTAACCAACAAAATAAATTGTGATTTATAAAATTTTTGATCTGTGACTTTGAAATAATTTGTGACCTATAAAATTTTTAATTTATGATCTCAAAATAATATGTGATCAATTAATTTGATAACATGTGATCAGTAAACAAGTTGTGACTTATAATTATGTACACGTGACCATTAATTATATAATTGTGACCTTATTATATTTAATTATTAAACATTTCTAATAATTAGTTTATATCTAAAATTTAAATTGAATTGTGTCATACACTTAGAGTTGACACTTGACTTTTGAAATTTTCTCCCCAAATAATTAATTGATATTGCTTCATGATTAATTCAAAGTTTTAAGAAATAAAACCCAAACGATTGCTCCTTTTTGTACAACAAAAAAAAGTCAAATGTCATTACATTATTGTCGTGAAGTCTAAGAGCGTGTTTGATAGGCATTAAAATTAGATTTTTAAATAGATTATGAAAGAAATTTTTGAAATATATGATTAAAAATTTATGGGGTCAATAAAAAATACAGTTAATGTTAATTGTTTGATTTTGATTTTAAATTAAAATATGATTTTAACTTAAATCAAGTGCTTGTTTGGTAGGGATTTTGATAATTAATTTTTTGACCGTTAAAAATAAAGTGAATTTTATTTGTAAGAGAAAATTTTAAAAATAACGTTTAAAATAATAAAATAACGATAAAAAATTTGATTTTAATTAATTTTAAACCCTACCGGACAAGCTCCAAATTCTATAAAAGTGAAGTGCGGCATCCCATACTTGGAAAAGGAGTGAAAGAATAATGATTATTCTTATTTAAATCGTATGATTTAGAGCTCCGATTCAATCCCCGTCTGGATTAATCTATTTGTACCCTCCTCTTCCTCTCCTTCACCAAGCCCGTGAAAACTAACGGCGTTAACAATTACAGTAATAGTAGCAGCAGGCCCGTGTTTCAGTTTCCTAAAACCAGGACATCTTCTTCGGATGCGGTAATTTTGACAATTACTTCTACTTCCTACTGTAAATGTAGAAATAATTTTGAGGATTTTCTGTAAAATAAAAGTAAAATGTCCCTACAATGATTTGATTTATAATTTTGGATTTTAAAGTTCCGACAGTGCATTTTGTTTTTAGCCTTGCATTGGAGTGGATATTTGTAATGATAATCATGCTGATTGTATTCTGCAGCAGATTTTTTAGCATCAATATAGTTAATAGTTTTATTTTGTGCATATGAGACAAAAAAAGTCCCAGATCATTTTCCAGCAAATTGCAGGAATTCTGATATGACGCAAGAAATGTAAATGAAATTTGATGTCGCTTTTGGTTAAGTTTCTAATTTACTTAGGATCATGGAATAACGTTCGTTGAGATATGGAATTCTAAATATTTGTATATAGCTGTGTGCATGATCTCATCTACTGATGTAGATAAATGAATTTAGATTTTTGTATGCTGTGTTCTGAGGGATCTTGGGGCTTGCTTTTGTTTTCCTTTCTATTTATTTTGATCGGGTCACTTAAAATTTATTGGATGGAGCTCCATTGGCTCGATCAACATCTACTGAAAGTCTGTCCATGTCAATTCGCACAATGCCTTCACTTCCAACCAGTAGACCATCACTTAAGACTCGGTTGCCCATACTGCCAATTGATCCTCCTAGCAACAGACAAAAGAAAAGTATGGATTCCATTCTTTAGCTATTTCCGAACCTAGTTATCTTAACCTTGCCACAAATCAGCATGCACTACTCCCTTTTAAATAAAACTCTCTCTTTAAAATTTCTATATCACTATAAAAACTGTCATCATGTCGAAATAAGGGATGAAATATTTATTAAGTTAAAACCTCATGTCCATTATGCATTGAACATTGGGGGGTATTTCTTCCATAATTCCATTCACATGCAAATTTGAGCAGTCAAAGTGCTTCTCTGTATAGGAGTGTAAGCATCCTTGTTCTCTGAATACCGATCTGTGACAATGGTTGGATAGTGTTGCTATCTTCTTTATAAGAGCAACATATAATTTCAATTCATTTGGTTTATTTCATGCTAATGTAGATACCAATGTGAATTGCAGGTTCTCAACAGATTTGGCACAATTAAACTTAAAAGATATCGGAGACGAATGCGCCTCTTCTGCCCTTCGTGATGAAGTATGTTATTTATATACCAAAAAATAAAAATAATTGAACCAGTGTTCTGTATATAATACAGTTAATTTCCTGCTCAGGGAGGAGTTTGTTTTCTGCTTGTCTTTTGTCAATCTAATAAGTGTTTACTGGGCAGCTCGATGTGCTACAAGAAGAAAATGAGAGTATTCTTGAAAATGTTTATATTAATTTGATAAACTCTAAGGGTGTGTTTGATTACATTTATTTTTCATGGAAAATATCAATTTTCCATCCAAATTTCTACTTAGAGTGTTTGACTGCTATTTTTTTCCATGGAAAACATTTTCCAACTTTTGAAAATATGCCTAATTTTCCTTGTTTTTAAGGAAAATATTTTCTTTGGATAGAGGTGGTTTTTATTTTCCACAAAAGATGGAAAACATTTTCTTTTTTAGGTAATATTTTCCATGTCAATCAAACACACTCTAACTGTTTTGTTTATACATGAATACCTCTATTAAATAGAGGGGAATACAATATCATATCCCATAAAAAATAGGACTTATCTAATTTGAATATAATCTGTAGAGAAATAAAAGGAACAATTCCTAACTAGCCAACCAACTGGCTTATCTTATCTTACCGGATTTATTTAATTTCAACGAAGATAAAACTAAACTATGATAACTATATTACAATAAAATCGTAACCTCTCAACACTCGCCTCAAGCCGGTGTGAAGATATTAATCACCCCAACTTGTCTATACACTTTTCAAAGCTTTGTCTTGCTACACCCCTCGTAAAAATATTTGCTACCTGCTCCTTGGATAGCACGAACAAAACACATACTTCACCACTATTGATCTTCTCTTTTAGAAAATGCTTGTCAATCTCCACTTGCTTGGTGAGAACATAATGGACCAAATTATAGGTAATACTAATTGCGGCCTTATTATCACAAATAATCTTTATAAGCTTCATACACGGAAACTTCAATTCTTCTAGTAGTCTCCTTATCCAAATTATTTCACACACTTCAGGGACTAATGCTCGAAGTTCTGCCTTCGCAACTTCAGGCTACTTCATTATTTTTCCTTTAACTAAATTTTCCCAAACAATTGTACCATAACCAGAAGTGGATTTTCTATCATTCAATTGAGCCTGCCCCAATCTGCATCTATATAAACTTCCACACCTCTTTCTACATTCTTCCCAAAAAAAAACAATACTTTCCTAGTCCTATAAACTGCATCTAAATGCCCTTGAAATGGATAGTGCATATATTAACTGACCATGCTTACTGCAAAAGCAATATCAAGTTAAGTATGTGACAAATAAATCAATCTTCCAACTATTCTCTCATATCTCTCCCCGTATATTGGATTTCTTGCCTCTTTACCCAATTTTCCATTAGGCTCAACCGGAGTTTCACAAGGTTTACAGCCAAGCATACTTGTTTATTTCAATGAATCCATCATATACTTTTCTTTGAGATATGAAGATACTGATAGGCTCCAATCCACCTCACACATTCTAGAAGGACCAAGAAGAAGAATAACCTGCAAATGGGTGGAAAGCTAGACTGTTAGAGTATAAAAAGTGGGAGAGAAAAACAGTTACAAATAGCTCTCAAATAAAGAAGGGGAGGGGAAAGGATTTGGCATGCAAAATAGTGAATTAAAACTATATCGTGGAGAGTACAACCCTTTCGAAATGCTGATTGTATTTCCTTTATTTCTGTAATTCATCTTGTCATCAATACGGTTCTATAGTGGAGTCCTTATAAGAGAGAACTGACCGCCTACAATTTGAGTTAGGTGCAATGAAAATTGAATTTCTGAGAGCAATGTCTAGAATGATAGAGAGGTTCGATTTGATGATGAGAAAAATGGATTAGCAAGAAAGAGAGTGGAATGAAAAAGAAATAGCAGAGAACTCACCTGAGCTGGCGATTTCTGAAGCCCCTTTGCCGGTGAATTTGACTGGAAACATTGAGACACAGAAAATCCCACCCAAAACTAACGAAGTGGGATAAAGTGCAGTTAGTCGAAGCTGCTGTGAGGAAACCATTGTAAGAAGAAATCGGAAACTAACTGAAATCTTACCATCACCATTGCCAAAGTAGAAGAGATCGGAGATGGAAAGGATCTTTGCAATTCGGCTAAATCTGGAGAAGAGGAACGAATGGAAATTATTGAATTGGATGGATTTGGACTTTGGCAGGGAGGTGGACCAGTAGGTAGAAGATCGAAATGAGTATTTAAAACAAGCCCAATTAAGTTTTGGCCCGTCCATAATCAAAACTAACTCCAGCAGCCCACATATTAGCTACAACCCACGTGTTTTCCCTTATCAAAACTACTCCACCAGCGTAGTTCCATTCGCGGGGCATTCCAAAACCCGTGACTCAATCCCAGTGACCACCACACTACGACCTGCTAACACGATGAAGGTGGCGTCATTGTTTAAGAGGTTGACGGTTGTCGAGCTTCATACAAAAAGGGAGAAGGGGCTGCATCTCGACAAGAAGATTGTGGTAGAGACATCGTGCAAGGTTTTGGCGATGGATGCGTTCAATGACAAAGAAGCATCTGTTGGAGCCTTCTGGTGGTTTCTTTGCACCACTTTGGGCCGACCGTATCCAACTCAATGTAAAGAAGGTTTCGCGTCTGGAAGGGCTCATCAAGATAGCATATCTCACTGGAAATCTGGCGGCTATCTGCACTCCATCTGATTACAATAAGTTAGAAGACCTAGTGGGATTACATTCATTAATGGGCTAAAATTAGACACTTGGGCTGAAGTTGTTCTATTATGTCCCAATGGGTTAGGCTCTATTATCAAAATGACTTAACTAATTGAAGACAAAAATTAAGTGGGTATGACAGCCCAAAATCCAAGTGTACCCAAATATACCATGCTAGCTACACCTTTAAATGTGTGTGCTTCAAATGGGATAGAAATCTTTCCTACCAAAATCTTGACGATGGAAGAGCATGCAATTGGCATCACCAACACTTCATTAACTACCACCTTGTGGACAAGGTGGATTTATAACTCGGGGTATTGATAGGCTTCATTCCAACTCGTGCATTCTAGAAAGACCTAGAAGAAGAATAACCCACAAGTGGGTAGAAAATTAGTCTATTAGAGAGTAAAAATGGAAGGGAAAAACTGTTACAAGTAGCTTATAAATAAAGAAAGTGGGGAAAAGGATTGGGCATGCTAAATAGTGAGTGAAAATCATATTGTGGAGAGTACAGCCCTCTTGAAAGGTTTATTGTATTTCCTTTACTTTGTAATTCATATTGCCATCAATACAGTTCTATAATGTTTGCTATTATTCATCCGTTTCATTGAATTGTCAAGTGGCTCCTAGTAGATACCTGTCTTATTTCTTGTTCTTTCCATTCCCAAAGACTATTGAAGTTGTCCTAGGTCTCTAAAAATTTTTTAGCTAAAAACTCCTTAAGACATACAAGTTCTTCCAGATTATCATCTGTGAAAATAATGTTATCGACGTATACTATCAAAATAGAAATCTTACCACCTATATGCTTGATAAACAATGTATGGTCAGTCTGCCCTTAAAAATATCCAAATTTTTTTACTGACCTAGTGAAGCGATCAAACCATGCTTTTGATGATTGTTTTAAGTCATAGAGTGAGTTCTTCAACCAATGTACATTATTACTCCCAAATTCTTTCGCGAAACCTGGTGTTGACTCCATGTAAACTTCTTCCAATTCTCCATCCAACTACGCATATGCTATTATGACATTAAGCAGTTAAGAACAATGTGTAGAACGACAAACTTGTTCAAGATTTCCGAACTTAAAAATATCTAAACTTTTTTACTGACCTAGTGAAGCAATCAAACCATGCTCTTAATGATTGTTTTAAGCCATATCCAAACTTTTTTACTGACCTAGTGAAGCGATCAAACTAGGCTCTTGATGATTGTTTTAAGCCATAGAGTGAGTTCTTCAACCAATGTACATTGTTACTCCCAAATTCTTTCGCGAAACCCAGTGGTGACTCCATGTAAACTTCTTCCAATTCTCCATTCAACTATGCATTTTTCACATTCATCTGCTATTATGACATTAAGCAGTTAAGAACAATATGTAACTTGCTTAGGATTTCTCACTGGTGAAGGAAACATTGAGAGTATGCTAACAGTTGAATTGGGATTAAAGGAGCTTGTTTCATTGAAGGTTTTTACTTTATATTATTTGCACTTCGATTTGTTTAACATAAGATATGCTTTAGTTTGTTTGTACTTGTCAACATCTGCAGATTGTCCTTTAGTTTATGAACATAATATATACTTTAGGTTTTTTTGAGCATTCGATTCATCATATCAATTCACTCAATGTAGCAATTTTCTTTACTTCCTAATTCATTATCAGATTAGTTCGTTTAATAATTGCTGAGGTTGTAGTTTCTGATGTTTGATTCATCTCATAGATTACCGAGAACATAGACAATATCATGCTAATGTAACACTGTGTTCTAGGGGTCCATTTATATGCTTATTATGCCCTCATTTGATCCCCATTTTTTGGAGAAAATGAATTCTTCAACAGTATTTTGACATAATGTTAACCATACATTATTCAATAAAATAATATTACACGCAAATTCAAAACCTTTCATTATTTTTTAACCACACATTTCACATCAATACACTATTCAAAAATTCATTTTTCCCATCAAAATGGGGCTCAAACAATGGCTATTTGTATACTAAAAATAAATTTTTTGTCTTGTAGTTGAGCAAGGTTTGATGAGCTAAGAAAACTGGATATTGAACAAAGTCTTTGGGAGGAATCGCGCAAAGTAAAATGACCAGGATACTGCTCTTCATGATGGTCGGAAGTCTGCTATGCAATCCAAACGTTCTACTCGCTATCTCAGTATTTGTTATAGTAGATATTTAATAATTAGTAGCTACAGTAAAGCTCCCTCTGATTCACTGAAGTATCTTTGTTTTTGTTGGTGATCAGATTGTAAGTAGGTTTATTGTTCAACATGCTATAGAACAGTATGAGATATGGTGTGCTTTTTTATTTTTCATAGTTAGGGGTTATGCACTTGTGATTATATGGCAAGCCGAGCTGCCAGAGAAATAAAATGGAATCAAATTTTGGTTAGATCTAGGTTTTTGTTTAACATTTGGAGACAATTCTTGCTTTAAAAATCGAAGAAACCTGTGACATGTGAAGGAGGACATGTCTTTTTAAGTATCATTATAAGTTCAATCAGATTTTCGAGCAACTTCATGTAGTCTAGATTATTCATTTTCTTATCCTTGGAATGAAGATATTAGTGGACTGGTCTAGCATGGGGAATGTGTCAATAACTGCTGAACTTTTTTCTGTGGACTTAGAGAAGCACAGTGAACTTGACCTAGATAGAGTGAATGCAACTTTCATAGTTTCATCTGCTTGCCTGGATGTTAGGTGTATTCTATCTATAGGTCGAGGGAATGGAAAAGTCCAATTCTACCAAAACTGTCTTGGGCTACGATCAAAGTAAGCAAAGCGAGGGTAATAAATGCACTATCGATTGGCTCCTAAGGGCACATTGTTTGTGCTCATTAGTTAACTTTGTAATGTATCCTGGAGATGGGAAGTTGATATTTTGAAATCAGTAAGCATCTGAGTTTCTTGTGAAAGTTTTCCTCACTTGTAAGAAAGTTTAGACTCTTAGTATTTTAACAATTTTGTTTAACTGAATCTGTGGAAAGAGGGAGTCTTGGAGTCAAATTTTATTGAGCATATTATATTTAGTTTTGTAACACATAATGGAGTGGATGCACAGCAGAGAGAAAGACTTTACATTGAGGCAAAGAAATTTTGTCATCTATCTGGTGTAATGTTGTAATATGGACGTTGGGAACAAAGAATTTTCAGAGAGCATTTTCAGGAGACTAATCACAGGTGCATGCGCTGTAGGTTTTGGATTTATATATTTTCGAACCCATAACTCATTGCTATAGGGCCCAACTTTAAAATTGCCAAGACAACGGAAGATAGAGTGATGGCACGTGATACTTAAATAATACTACGAAGTGGGCACGCATAAAAAGATAAAAAGCACTGTTTATTTGTTTATGGTGCATAGGGAAAGTAGAAAGATATAAATAATACAAAAGGCTAATTTGACCCAATATCCCTATTAACAGCATCCGACTTTCTGTTGTTTAAGTGGAATTCAGACTACCCAGAGTAAATGATGCAGGAGGATCCGAATCGAGTGACGTTGAGCAGTCAGATAGTTCGTTAATGGCGTTGAGATACCATGAAATGGTGGATAGACGCAAAGATAAAAAATAAATGCAATATTTTCTTAATTGGGGTAATTTTGACATTTCTTTGATAATTTGACAATAACTTTGGCTACGGTTATCAGAATCGTTATTATGACCCCAATTCGAAAAACTTTTTTTGGCACGCACGTCGTGGTCACTAGCTATGCTTGATGGGCGTCAATTTCGAGCCTAAAATCCGCTGTTTCCTTTTCGAAATTCAATTTTTAGTTATTTTTTACTATTTATGGTACTATTTCGTTTCCATTTTTTTAGATGTTAGAGAATTCGAATTGAGCCAAATTTTTGGCAATTTACTTCTTTTATTTCATATTTTATTTTTGTGTGATCGTTAGGATTTTACTATTTTTGGTAATTTTTCAATAATTTCATTTTTTTGCAGCTACTTAATCCGACTTGTGGGTTAATTTTCATCATTTTTTATTATTAATAATATTGAGTGAAGTTTTCAGAGAATTCTCTCTGTTTTTGGCGTTTCATTTTTCTTCTTTCTTGCGAATCGTCTGTTGCAACTAACTTATAGGATAATCGCTATCTTATCCGAAGTCAGTAAAGAAACAACTTTTGATTTTAATGAACAAAAATAATAGAAATCTTAATCTTATACGACTTTTGGTGGCTGAAAGGAGGTCGTTTTAGTTTTAGATAATCCCTCTATATACACATTCAACGTTTTGAAAAAAAAAAAATGATTTGTGTGGTCAAGTGAAGACATGAGAATGGAAGTTGGTTGTAGTGGGTCCAAAGGAAGGACAAAAGATTATGAAGTGGTTTGTTGTCACCACTGTCAAACAGGAAAAAGAGCAATTTATTGTATAGAGTTTTCCTTTTTGTCTCTACAAAGTAGTTGGCAGATTTGATAAGAATGTTATGTTACCTCAAGCAGGTGCAGGCGTGGCTTAAATTTTATTATTCAAATGCTTGAGCGGAAATCATTTTTATGTTGACACCATCATCACACCCTTCAACCCTACCAGGTTCCAAATTCCCAAGTCCTTTCCACTTTTTAAATCCACTGCTTGTCATCATTTTAAATCCACTGCTTGACATCATTTTATGCTCTTATTCCCTTCCCCTTCATATTTTTCCAAGAAAAAAGGCTTCCACCATGTGATTATAAATGGTCAATTTATCCAACGGCATGTTTGGGAAATATTTATAAAGAGTTTAAATTATAAATAGATCGAAATAAATGACAAATAAGTGTGTGATACTTTTGAGTTTTTCAAAATATGTGAATAATAAGTGGCTCGGTTTTTCAATTATTTAGGGGTGTTTTACCTAGACATGTACTAAGAGGCGTGAGATGATCATTGTAAATTTTATGCTCTTATTCCCTTCCCCTTCATATTTTTCCAAGAAAAAGGCTTCCGTCATGTGATTATAAATGGTCATTTTATCCAAAGCATGTTTGGGAAATATTTATCAATAGTTTAAATTATAAGTAGATAGAAATAAATGATAAATAAGTGTGTGATACTTGTGGGTTTTTCAAAATATATGAATAATAAGTGGCTCAGTGTTTCTATTATTTTAGGGATGTTTTACCTAGACATGTACTAAGACGCTTGAGATGATCATTGTAAATTTCTTTTCTTGAAAAGTTATCATGGCGACTGCACCTAACTCTATCATTAACATTGAGAGCGAATCATTAGAAATTCATGTGTTTGTTTGTGTATTCTTGATTTCCTACTACTTTATGCTGTTCTCGTAATTAAGATTAAGATACATTATATGACACATCATAAATATGGAAGGCAATCCATATGTTAATTGTTAAAACTCCTTAAGACGAAAAGGCTACCAAATCCCCCCAATGGAAAAATTTTCATAGAAATATGACCTTTTTTTCAATCGAATCTCAATTTTTGAAATGTTCGATTGTCCTTTTTTCCAAGAAAATTATTTTTCAACAATTAAAAATATTCTAATTTTTCTTGTTTTTTAGGAAAACATTTTTTTTAAATGGTGTAGGTTTTTGCTTTCCACAAAATAAGGAAAAAAAAATTCATTCTTAGGAAACATTTTTCATGCCAATTAAACACACCCTAAATTCAAGAAAGTATGTAGATTCATTAATTACTTGGGGGTGTAGGTGGGAAGTGGTTCCACTGGATATTTATTTAGCTAACTGAAAGCAATTAGCATTAGAAAAAGTTCATTATCTTTACTGTAGATGCAACTAAAATAAAAAAGGGGGAGGAAGCAAAACTTGACTTCTTTTAGCCACTATTTGATACTGATTTTAAAATTTAGATTTTAATCTAACTCAAAATCAATAATTAATTTTAATCACATATGTTATGGGTTTCACAACTTTTTAATAATATATTTCATCAATTTTTATTAAAATCTATTAAAATTTTAATTTTAATCCCAAAAAAATAAGGACTAAATTACATATAATAAAAAATGCATTGTTTCCTCGAAATTGCTAAGCAAAATTTCTAACACCGACTGGTTGTTTCTACTGATTTAATTGATAAATTGACAATTCATATTTCTTATTAATGACGTGTTGTACTGAAATCTTCCATTGACATTTGGACTTCTAATTATGTCTGTGCCCCTTTAATTTCAAAGAATGATATATAGAATAGTGGTTGATGTTGAAATATGTGGTTAAAAAAGAACTTTTTTTTATTTATGTATAATTTTATTTTAATAAAAAATGTGTTGTTAAAAATGAGTATTGTAGAAAAAATAATGGATAGAATGATTGACAAACACGAGCTATCTATCAGATAATATCGATGTTGTATAAGGCTGACATGGTCTGGTTTAGTTCGATTCTAATGAGAATCGAACCGGTCGAAAATTTTTGGATATTTAGTAAGTGGAACCGTTGGGTCCAAATTTAATTATGGAACCGTCCGGATTCGGTTCCATTCGATTCCCAAGTTCCATATTATAATTAAATTTTTTAATATTTACAAAATTACATTAATTCAACTAATGATATGCTTAATCTTAACTCTTACAAAATAACGTAGTCTAAACTTATTTGTCTTTTGCTTCTCTCTTTACTGAGTTTTTATTTATAGATTTTGATTGTTAAAATCATAAGAAAAGGAAGATAACGAATTCAAAATAATTAAGAAAGACGTTGTCAAGTTTTAATTCGATTTCTCCAAAACGGTAGAAACGACACTACGGTAGAGTAACAAATTTTGATAAAATTTAGGTCAATTTGATTAAATTTGCTTTAAACTGAAAATTAGAAATAGGAAAATCATATTTTTTTGGTTTGAACTAAATTAACTATTTAACAAATTTATTTAAAAAAAATAAAATAATTTTGCTAATTTAAAATAAATTAATTAAAAAAATTAGGGAGATTTGATTTTTATTCGATTTTTCGAATCTTGATCTAAAATCAAGAACTAAACTATATTCGTCGATTCTGGATTCAGATACCAGTTCGATTATTTAATTTCAGAAGAACCGCTCAATTCGATTTGGGTTTGATCCGATCGGTTCGATTTGAGAGTTTTGTTCAGCCCTATATATGGATTAATCTATTCATTGAGGGCTCCACGCACCCCTACATATAGGGGGCGCTAGTATGGCCCGTTGTATAATGGACTTTTAATGTCAATTTTTTGAATGAACATAGTTGAAAACTGTTCATACTTGTTGGACCTTACAACATAATTCATGCATCAAGAATGCACCATTTTAAATCTATGTACAATTTGTTCATTTCAAAGATAAGCACAATGTAGAGTTACTCTGAGTAACAATAATTTTGAGCATATTTGTTCATTATTGAACTAGTTAAATAGGCTCAATAACAAGTGCTATTTACATGGAATGAAATGACAATTTTTTATTGATAGTTTTTTCTTTTACTTTTTTTTTTAATTGTCTATGAAATTTCGCCAAATGTATATCGGTAAAAAAGCCGATCAATAAGCATCTTCCTGTAGCAGTTTGTTCGTCCGTTTCCTCAAGTAATTCAAATATGTAGAATATCCATCCCACCATGCAGTGTAACTTTTCTGAAAATGCCTTTTGCTCTGGATATAGTACGTGTGCTGGTTGGGTGGGTGGGTGCGGGGTGCTTGAGTGTGAAGAAAAGACATTTCGAAACAAACATACAAAAAGTAGAGCTATACCTTTACGTATTAATTATTTGTGAGATATAATATGTAACAAAAACGAAGTACTCTATTTTATATACTTTCGTTTCTTCTTATTTCTTTTTGCTCCTTTCTGATATGAAATGAAGGGAGAGAAAAGTTTCACAAAGCTACATTTCATTTTTATAAAATCCAGAGTCATCATCGTAAATGTAAGTCCCTGTATAGGGGGGTGTGTGGACTAAAGAAAAAAATGCAAAGAAAATGTTAGAGCAATTTCACGAGTAAATTGATATGTAAGAAGGAGGATCAATGGTTCCTCAACTGCTTGATTGAGTCGATGGAATGTTCAAGACATAATCTTTCTCTTGGGAAAATTAAAAAATAAAGAATGAAAACAAATTCCGATTAATGTACTTCACTCCCTTTAGAAAGCTCCAACTGAAAATTTTTATCATCTTGGGAGAATAAACAAACTGGTCTTTTCTTGGGGTGGAATAATTACCCTATTTGCAATATGCACCAGTTTTCTGATAAAAAATAAAATATTCCTGCAAACTACAAAGCTTTTTCTATAGAAACAGAGACTTACCCTCTGCGCTTCTTCTTGGCACTGTGCTGTTGTCAAATTTTGGGAGATTGAAACCAAGAACAAGAAAACAGTGGGACAGGCACCACTTATATATTTAGAGAACTGTTAGTATGTAAGTTGTAACAGATAATAGAACTAGACACTACGATTGATAAGATTTTAATTTTTTTCTTTAATATGATATAATCTAGTGCTTTGGATACTATTGGGTACAGATCAATCCATCGAGCCCAAGCTCCCAAAAAAAAAAACCAACAATTTGAATTGGATACATTCAGCAGCAGAAGACACCTAGTCATTCGGGAAAAACACACCTTTACTCTTTCAAATCCACACCAAAGTCTCTAAAACTAGAAAAGTTAATACAATAATGACAATAAAAGAAGGGACTCTTTATCTTTTCTATAATGCTTCCCGAGTAGAATTTTAGCTGCCTCAGCTCTATATATTTCTCTCAGCACTCTTAAAATTTCTCTGCTCCATATACTGAAATAAAAGTCATGGCATCTTTACAGTGTAAAACCATGGCATTGGCCATAGCTTTAGCTTTACTACTACAAGTATGCTTTTTCACCAAAGTGCAATCTTACTCTACTTTGTCATCAGCTGAAAAAGTCACTCAATTACCCGGGCAGCCTCAAGTGAGTTTCCAGCAGTTTGCCGGTTATGTGACTGTTGATCAGAAGAAACAGAGAGCCCTCTTTTATTATTTTGTGGAAGCTGAAGTCGATCCAGCTTCTAAACCTCTTGTCCTCTGGTTAAATGGAGGTCAAATTCGCACGCGTTGTTTTGCACTGGTAATCTTGAGAGTATTTTTCTGAAGTTTTGAGGAATATTGATTGCAGGGCCTGGTTGTTCATCATTGGGGGTTGGAGCATTTTCTGAAAATGGACCATTTAGGCCAAGTGGGAATGTGCTCGTCAGGAATGAATATAGCTGGAATAGAGGTGGTTTACTGGTCTATTTTGTGAATATTCATATTTTCAAGATCTATTAGAAAGGGTATTTACTATTTTGTAACCAAAATTCTTGATTTGCAGAAGCAAATGTACTGTATTTGGAATCTCCAATTGGAGTGGGATTCTCTTATTCTACCGATTCTTCCACTTATGAAGGTGTAAATGACAAAATCACAGGCATGTTTCTCCACTCTTGAGTCTTGCTAATGAAAATTTCAATTCTTTGATTTTTTCCCCCTTTCTAGAAAGACACGGTAAGTAGCACTATCTTTCTTCTTTCTGAATTCTTTATATGGCCTTTTTCACCACATATTTAAAAGCAAAGAATTCCTAACGGAGTAGTAACTAGTAAGCTTCTGCTTTTTGAGCCTTGTTCTACTTACTGTTTTTGTTTTCTTTTTGGACATGGGATAAGAGCCTTACTTTAGTTGTCTGTGTTTATTTCTTAATACAGCCAGGGACAACATGGTGTTCTTGCAAAAATGGTTCCTCAAATTCCCACAGTACAGGAATAGAAGCTTGTATATCACTGGAGAAAGCTATGCTGGTATAATTCTTGGTGTCTGAAATTTTCGATTCTTATTAATTGAATGAAATTTATGAAGAGATAAACCTGAAGATGTTTATTGTTCATCACTAGGCCACTATATTCCCCAGCTAGCAGAGATTATGCTCCAATTCAACAAGAAAGGGAATTTGTTCAACTTGAAAGGAATTGCTGTAAGTTTCCTAATCTCTAGAAAACTTTCTTTTCATTCAAAGACGTAACTTACAAAAAGAAAGAGAAAAGTTAGTTCGACATCATTTTCAACACAGGTTTATGGTAGAGGGGCGAAAACTCTATTGCTCTGTACTTTATGTTCTTGATTGCTCATAAAAGTAACTTAAAAACTTATGTTTTGCAAAAAAAGCAGGATAGACTTACTTTTAAGCACAATCAAACATTTTAATTGTTCATGGAAGATGTTCTCAAGTTTCTTGCATATTAGGTTTGCTATATCTTTTGCTGTAGTTTAAACTCTTAGATTGTGTTGTGAATGCAGCTAGGCAATCCGGTATTAGAATTTGCAACTGATTTTAACTCAAGAGCGGAGTATTTCTGGTCTCATGGATTGATATCAGATACAACATATAAATTATTCACGTCTGCTTGCAATTATTCACGATACGTTAGCGAATACTATAGAGACGCTATATCACCACTATGTTTCAGAGTAATGAACCTTGTTACATTGGAAACCAGTAAATATGTTGACAAATACGACGTTACTCTCGATGTTTGTATATCATCCGTGCTCGCACAATCCAAAATTCTTAGTCCTAAGGTATAGTCCTTTCATTTTCTGCATCTCTTCAACTACATTACTATTCGTTTAGTTCGCTATATTCCTTAATCTTAATTTAAGAAACTTTTTTCTTTTGAGCTGCAGCAAGTCACAGAGACTGTAGATGTATGTGTTGAGGATGAAACTGTAAATTACTTGAATAGACGAGATGTTCAAAAGGCTCTCCATGCACGTCTTGTAGGAGTCAACCGGTGGCTTGTTTGCAGCAAGTAATTCTCCATCATAGATTTAATTATACATAACTTGTGTGTGATTGCATGAAATTAGGAAATTGAACTTTGAATTAAAAAATCCATGTTCAAAATCAATAAATTTTCACTCCAAAGTTCAATGCTAAACTATCCTTTTTTCTGATGATCTGATTCAGTGTGTTAGATTATGAGCTACTTGATCTTGAAATTCCTATAATCCCTGTTGTGGGTAGAATCATCAAAGCAGGAATTCCAGTTTTGGTCTACAGGTAAGGCTGGGAACTTGAGGTCTTACATTCAGCCATTCAGGAATCAATTATTCAGTTTATTCTATTAACAACGATCTGCTGCTTTCTGATTACACAGTGGAGATCAAGATTCTGTGATACCTTTAACTGGAAGTCGAACACTGGTTCATAGGCTAGCAGAAGAATTACGACTAAGAACAAGTACACCATATAGAGTATGGTTTTCCGGGATGCAGGTAATCTGTCTTCAAATAATCGTCGTGAAATACAGGTAGTAGACGCTGCTTCATTGTTGAGGAAAGAAACTGTCAAGATCTGCATTTAATTATCATAAAAGGAATTTCATGCCAAAAATATTATGATTTATATACATTTATGTTTACTTTTAGGTTGGTGGCTGGACTCAAGTCTATGGTAATATCCTTTCGTTTGCCACAGTCAGAGGGGCGTCTCATGAAGCTCCATTCTCTCAGCCAGAGAGATCCCTTGTGTTATTCAAGGCATTTCTGGAAGGCAGGCCTCTACCAGAATCATTCTGATCTAACGATCAGTTCAGTGTAATGAAACAAGAATGAGATTGGCACAAAATTCAAAGGCACATGCCACCGTTAATCTCTCACGGATAAATATTACATTTGTTCATTATTTTGATTAGTCCTCCAAGAGAAAGTTGAGATCAAAATTGTTGTTAAAAATTATGACTAAAAAAGGGAAAGTGATACTTAATGCACGATCTATTTTACTGTAAACACCATTTTAGCATTTACAGATGCACTGATCAAGAATTAAAGCAAAGCATATAGAATTCAGAAATGCACGAGACAACTTTATGCGGTTCAACAAATCATTTACATCCACAAGAGGGAAGTCCTTATTTTTGTATACCGTGAAAAGTCATGTTAACCAAGAAAATGAAAATAATTCTTGAAATACTACGTAACTAATATGTTATACAAAAGAACGAGTTACAAACTCCAATACTTGCTCTTATTTTTTGTAACTGAAATACAACAGCAGCAATGCCCACCATTAAATCTAACTCTAGAGATGGCAATTTGAACCGTCAAAACCGAAAACCGCGGTTAACCGAATCGAATGGGGCAAAAAAAACCGAACCGATGGTGCAATTGGGCGGATATGATTTTGATTTTAATGAACCGGTTCGTAATGGTGCGGGTATGGTATTTACGTCGTCGAACCGATTACCCGCTAAAAAAAATTGAATTGATAATGGGTTTTACACTATTTTTCTATCCAAATCAAAACAAAATCTCTCCCCTCCTCATTACATCTACCTAACTCATTTGGCCAGTCTACTTATCATTAGCCCATAATAGCATTAGTATGACAGTATATAAATGCAAACCCTACTCTCCACAACCACAAACTCATGCACGGCTCCATTTCCTCTATGGTCCAACTCGTCGTTGCCTCCGAAAATTTATTACATTTGTTAGTCATTCTATTACTGCTGATCATGTAAAAACAGAGTTCGATGTTTTTCTAGACGTGCCAATATTGCCAAGGATGAATATGAATCAACTTTGAATGCTGATCTATGCTAGTAGGACTTGTAGGGAAGAATGCATCAAGTAACTTCGATGCACAACAATTAAGAATGAAGGAAAATTTTAGTATTATTATATTTATAATATTATTTGTTAAATTGGTATTTTACAATTGAAAATTAAGATAATATTTGCATTTACGTTTGGAATATTGTTTGACAATGTTTGCATTTTCGTTTGGAATATTGTGTTTTTGTTTTTATTGACTTTTTTCATAAATTGTTTTATATCAATTTGACGGATGAACATATAAAAAATAATTTATTTTCGTAGTTATTAACCGAACCGAACCGATTTACATGGTTATGATGCGGTTATGGTATGATCAAAAATTTGGTGGTGCGGTTATGGTTTTGGCCGAACCGACCCATAACCGAACCGTTGCCAACCCTATCTAACTCCTTAAGATATGTTGACTTGAAAACCCATGGAAAATGAAAGCTACAACACAGGAAGGGGAAGATTGGGTGGCTTACAAATAGCATTTTCCCATTTTCTTCATTGTGTTTGTTGACCTCGCGAAATGGACCATTCACGTGGCCAATCGATAGTCACTCCACGTAATCCTCTCTGTGCACAATAACGAACGGTCAGAAGCACACGGTCGGAACCAATGGGGGTGGTAGTGGTCGCATACACTCCGACGATCAAGTTAGTGATCGATGATCGGAACAGTGCTCGAATCGTGCAAGAATGTGGGGAGGAGAATAAATATTTCTTGAGTGTGGAGAGCTAAGTCTAGTATGAGTTTTATTACCTTTGTTTCTTACCAATCCTTGGGTATTTTGTTGTTTCGTGTAGGTTCGTCGCTAACAATTAAAAAGGGATCAGACGATTGTGTAAGGGACAAACCTCTTGAGACAAAATCCCAAAAAGGGACGTTTTTTATTGGCGATGACTTTACAATCGGAAAGTAAAAACAGAATGCCTCCAAGGGGCGCAAGCACACGAGTTACTGTAAAATAAGTGTTTAAATCTAAACTAAGAAATTTAAAGTTACATATTCTCTGTTCGAGAGTTTTTGATTCGGATCTTTTGCTCTATGTCTTTTCTTCCTTTTATACTTCATGGATGATCTCTTTGTGATTAACCGCCTAAAAACTGCTTGATCGTTCTATAACTGCCCACTTTCCTCGTAATGGCCAACTTGTCATGAAACTGCCCTTTCTAACTGCTGCCATTACTCTTTGTCGTTCACCCGTCTTGAATTGAATTCCTTGAATCGTGGAACGTGATAGGACTGCTTAATAACTGCTTTGATAACTGCGCTTCTTGATAACCATAACACTTCATGTTTGCTAAAACCTTGGGCGACTAGAAGGTTTGGGCGAGAATAGAGTAGCAGCTCTGGGCGACTGCATGACACTCCATTCGCTCAGATCCTGGGTGACTTGCAAGCTTGGGCGATGGCATTACCGCGTTCATGGGCCTTCATCTTGAATTGTTTGATTGAGCTTCGTTCTTTAGGCTATTTGATTTGGGGATCCTCCAATTGGGCTTCATTCCTTGAGCCGTTCGATTTGGATTGGATTTTTATGTGTCAACAATTACCCTCCAATATAGCAGAATTAATACTAGTTATTAAATTTTGCCATATTCACTTTGTGTTTCCAGCAACATTCGAAATTCTCAAGAATTTCAATCACTGTTTTCTTCCATAGCTTGAAAAGGTGTGACGTTTTCCAAACCCTTATAACCCCCAAATACGCAATTTCACTGCACCATTAAATCACTCCTCACTTTTTTCGCGCTTCTCTCTCACAATTTTACTGTTCATCTCTTTGCTTCCCTGCTACGTAACTTTGAAAAACTTCATTTCATCCCTAATGGCTGCTTCACAATCTCAATCTGGTGACTCCTTTAGTTTTGAAGACTTTCAGAAACTCCTTAATTTTCCATACGTAACTCCGAACTTTCTCGCACCCACCAACATCGAACTCAATGAGTTCTACCTAGGTCCTTTATTCAACAATACAGAGGCAGTCGAACAAGCGGGGTGGGCCAGCTGTTTCCTTGTATTCAAGGCCCTCCATTTCTAAACTCTTTGCCGCTGGAGCCACTTCGCGAAAGAGGTATTCGCACTTGGCCTAAATCTGATATAGTTTTACGTAGGTGGCATGCTCGCCTTGTGGACCACGGTTCTACTAAGGCACTTTTTGATAATGCTAGGATTTCTGATTTGTTAGAAATCTCTCTTCAAGCCCCTACTTTTGATTCAGCACTTTTTTCGATCGCTTTAAGTTTTTGGTCTTCTGAGTATAATACCTTTGTTTTCTCTCTTGGCCCCATGTCTATTACTTTAAGGGATGTTGGGGCCCTAGTGAATCTGCCACCTTTGGGCGATACCATTTTTCCTGGTATCTTGGTTTCTGGTGGCGCCCCAAAGTTTGGTAAAAACCTCATCGAATCTTATTCAAGCCTGCAAACCCTTCATAACCACTCGAGTGCTAAGCTTTCCCATACTGAGTGAGTGGCCTTTCTTCTCGTTTGGTTTTGTAAATATGTTTTGTGTATACCAAGCATAAAGCCCTCCCTGAGCTATTTACCCATAGCGCACGAATTGGCGTGTGGCAGGCCTCTGAATTTATGTTCTTTCTTTTTGGCTGCCCTCTATAGAGGCATGGCTTCTCTTCAAACTCAATTGAAGAATGGTGCATCTCCCACTGGCAATGGACCTCTTTGGTTCACTCAAATGTGGTTGAGATCCTATTTTCCATCGCTTGGTGTTCCATCATTTTCTCGTCCTTCTGCTAGCTGCTATGGGCTAGCCATTGAGCCCCTGACTCCTGTAAATATGTTTAGAAGGGACATTTTTTCATTCTTTTATTCTTTGGATTCAATCCCTTCCTTCTTTTCTTTTCCTCCCTTTTTGACTCTAGACTATGTGCATCCTCCCTCCACTATAGACAGCGTGAGCACCTCTCTACTTATTTGGATCCATTTTTTAACCGGGAGGGAGTTATTTCATGATATTTTGACTAGGACCAATGCCAAGGCAGGGGTAGAAATATATGCTCCCCAATTTTTTGCTCGCCAACTTGGTTTCGGCCAAACCTGGCCTGTTCCTCCTTGCTATTCAAGGAACTTGATAGACTGCTTCCATATCATTAATAAGGCGGAGGCAGAGGTTATAAATGCTCGCAATCTTCTTTTGACGAGCCATTTTTCATTAGCCCCCTTCAACTCTAGCCGTGCCATCCATCCCTTTTTTGAACAACTCTTGCCGTCAGTGAACACAGATTGTTTGCGACTGATACCAATCGTGCCTTTCATTCACTGGACCAGCCAAGTATTTCTTTCCCTCCTCCTGTTTTAGTCACCCCTTTGTCTATCCGGAGTCCTTCTCCTCCTCGTCGTGCTAAACAGTCTGCTCGTCCATCTTCTTCTCTCCCTGCCAAGCCTACTGCAGCCAAAAGTGCCCCGAGCTGCAAACGGCGAGCCTCAGCATCTCCCATTCTGGAGGATGATGATGATGATGATACTCCTCTTATCATCAGGAGGAAGGTAATTAAATCGGTTTACTCACAAACATACTTTTCCATACTTGAAACTTTTTTGTGTGCTGATGGTTTATTTGAACTTCTCAGAAAAGTTCAACCTCTCCTTTGAAGGCCTTGGTGTCGGCAGCTCCTGCTCCATCATCCTCCGCTGAGGCTGCTTCATCCAAACCAGCTGATGAAGGGACTACACTTAAAGAGACATCTTCAGTCCCAGAATCCTCATCACAACCAATGGATGAGCCACCTTCTTCCCAGGGCGTCGACCTTCCAAACATCGAAGCAGAAGGTAATTCAGTTTTTTGATACTTTACCTTTGCTTGAGCTATTGGTTTCTGATTTGTTGCTTTTGAGTTCTGTAGATGCTCCTATGAGTCTGCCCGCTGTGGCAGCATCTTCTCGCTTAGACAAGGGGAAGTTCTCACGAATGGTGGAGCCACAGGTGGCAGACTTGGCCGGGGATATGCCATCTTCCAAGATTATTGATGAGGTAATCTTTGCTTCACTTTTATTTCCATCTTATTCGTTGTAGTGAGAATCTTCAATATTGGCAATTTTCTTTGTAGGATGCTGATAAGATTGTGCGTTCCATCCAAGACTTGTTCGCTTCCTGGGGGCAAATCAAGACATCTCGCCCTGCTCCAGCTGGTCGTCCTGCTACTTCT